ATTGTTTAACGCCGACTTTTAACGCTGACGCTAATCTTCGATGGTCCATGTGACCGGTAAAATAATAACGTTTTTTATTTTCAGATTGTTGAAATCGTGAAGACTTAAGAAGCCTTCGAATAAATTCCTTCGGTCTGGCATAAATTATAATACAAATTACGAAAAGTCTAAATATATTCATTCTTATCAGTAGACTGCGGAACGAAATAAAAAATATGCAAAATAATAATTATCGAAGCTTATTATAAGAAAAATACATTGGACAAAAAAATACATAAATCTATATATATATATAAAATAAAAATAAAAAATATCTTTTCTGTTTATAAAATAAAGATCGTGCAACAATAGTCTTGAACTCGTCTAATGACATTTGAATTTTGTATTTGATCTATTCAAATACAAAACCCGCTGTCTACTTGTCAGTTTGATAAAGCCAGCACGCGTTGGTCGCTTTAAAGATACAGTGTCAGTTGGAAAAATTGAAAGTAAAGTTTGTCCCATTGTAATAACCGTATCCGTAGCTCGCGTTTTCCCGCGACGCCGCGATCGAAAGAGCATCAACGAGTGTCGCCCGGCGCTATTTACATTCAGAGAATTCCGCTGTCCCCCGGACAGATCCTCGAAGCTGTCGGTCAATTTACACGAGCACCGAGCGGTTGTTTACATTCGCGGAACTCGTCTATTTTCAGGGCATTTTGCAACCGGAACGATCCAATTACACACGCAAATGGAGCACCAATTTGCGCGTCGCGTCCACCGATCGGGTCACCACGAGTTTATGAATCCTTCATCGCCAGATTTTCCTCGTGCTTGTCTTCGAATTCCTTTGATTTATCTGTTCGTCGACGATATTCTTTAGAGCTGCGACCTTGAGGGCTACGACCATTTTCCTCGAGAGTAAAACGTTCAAGAGACATTCGCGTGCCTTTTAGCCTTGCAAATAAAATTATTTGTTTGTTATTATTATTCATTTGATATAATCCTCGCTTTTCGGCTTAGAATGGCCTCCGACTTACAACTTTCTTTTTGTTACATGTGTTATATGTATAGTCTTCTGACCAAATAAAAATTGCTCCAATTTCTGAACTATACTAAGTTATACTACCTAATACTAAATATATATATATATTACTAATATAATACTAAATCGCATTGACTCAAAGTTGTACTATTTTTTCTATAAAAATATAAATCTATTTTATCTTCTCCCTTTTCCTGTATATCTACACTATATCACTGTCTCTTTGGCTTCTGTAAATAAAATAAAATGATTTATTCGTAATTAGGATAAGTTTGGCAATTTTTAATACCATTTTTATTACAAAGAGGTTCCTCTGTCAATCAACGGTAACTTAAACATTAGAAAATCCGTATTTTTGTTCACCAAGACTGGCTTGATTAAAAGCATAGAAGTGCAATCATTCGTAGCTGAATTCTTCAAATCAGAACATAGTTGCACGTGCGAACCAATTCCACATGCCACAACCAATTCCATTGTCACGAACTGTGTAACATCAATTGGGAAGGTGACTATTATTGAAAAATTTCGCAAATAGGCTGGCGATCCTGTGAACGGGTAAGCCGGGAGGCGATCGAGCGGAATGAAACGATTTATCTGTCGCGCGTACACAGAGGAAGTTCCGGAGTCCCGTGAAATCGCGAGGCCGGCCATCGTCGCCAGATTTATTTGTCTGTGATCGATTATCGAGCCGCTTTGCCGGTCTATTATTCCCTATTCTCGCGGATCTCGTCGGATCCGTTTGACGCGGGCCGTTTCTCCTCATTTCCCGACGAGCAACACCGCTTTCCTCTCTTTTATCCTATGCTCGCATTCTTCCGGAAACGTGTGTCGCTTATGCTATTCGGAAAGACAACGAATCGCTGACAAGCAAATAGACTGCAGGATATCCTAAGCTCTTCGGTGACGAAATTTTGACGCGTTAATTGGAAGCTGTTTAATCATCAGACTACGGACTTCTATGCAAAATAAAAATTGTTTGCATCGATTGCAAGAAATGGAAACAAAAGAGAAAGATTTTTATGTTTTTTATAATTTGAATAGATAGAATAGATAGAATAGAATAGATAGAATTGAATAGATCATACATTGACACTTTAACATTTGTTTAATCTGTCTAATATCCTAAATTGCAATTACTCAATTTTGTCGTAGAAGCATAGAATCCGCAGTCTGTTAACCATAATACTGATAATAAAGAGATAACTCGTCGAAAAAGTGCAATTTCTAATATCTCGTCTCTTATTTTTTTCGGTAAGAACGTTTTTATATGTTTTCAAAGATCTTTTAAACTTTTGTAATACTTTGACGAGTCCGACTCTATAAAATCTGAATGAGACTCCGATCTTCTAAATGGGAACAAAATTCTGCTCTCTTTTCATCAACAATCAAGCATTCACAATAAATGTACATTTTCGTTTCCTTACAAAAAAATATTGGCTTGTACGAAAAATAATTTCACTTTTCAAAAAATTTTCGTTTCCTAAGGTTGTTAAAAATGCAACATATTTCCAATAAGAAACAGGACTTCTAAGATAAGATTTCGAAGGTACCAGAAAAATGTCAGAAAATTATAGAACAGTACGTCGTTAAATAACATTTACTCTAAACATTAAAAAACCGTGTTTCGTTTTCAAAAAGAACGAAAAATTACTTTCCGAACAATATTACTATCGGAAAACTTCTATCCATTGCAACTATGAAGAACATGTTTCAGGATTCGCGGACTCAAATGAGCTAATACAAGCCAAAATCAGTGCAGCTCGTCGGTTTGCATAAAACGTCGGCGAAAGAAAAACCGGATTGTTCAACGGAGTACAACAAATCCTCGCGAGGTTCCGCGGGGCTTACAATTAGTAGAGCAGCCAGCGGCCCGGCTTCCGCAGGTTTCCAGGGTTTAATCGGGCCGAGTAGACGAGATCTACGTGAAAGCTCGTCAGCGACGGATTAGCCGTCGCACGTAAACGTCCCGGTTGGCGTTCACGCGAGAAAGAAAACCGCAGCAGCACGTGCACGAGGTCCGTTTCAAAGTCCGCCGTCGGATCCTAGATCATAAACTTGCCGCTGGTTCAAAGCCCTTTCGCGGCCCCGCGATAACAAGCAGCCCATTCGAAAATATAATAAGCAACGGCCTAGCTGGTACGGGCAAGGGAGTCGTTCACCCAGCGGGATCCGAGGTTTCGCGATCAGGATAATCGTTAATGGCCGGTCGACGCGTGCACCGGCTTCCGGTTGACCAGCGGCAAAACAACTCGTCCTCTGTTCCAAGACCGGAGGCCCGCCGCGCCACGGCGAATCGAACCGAACCCGCTCGAATTAAACGTCGTGAAGATAAACTGGCTCGCCATTCAGCCGATCGGAGGGTTTATTGTTGAACGAAGCCGGCCAAGCAGATATTTAGAGTGTTTCCAGGTCCCTCGGCGTTCTTTTCCGTGGCCGATGTGGCTCCGGGATAACCGCGATTAATCACCGGCCTCTAATTGATTCAGAATTTACCGTTGCCGTCGGCGTTCTTTATGTTTTATCCGTCGCGTTTGCTCGCGCTCGAGGGAACCGGGGAATCGTTTTTTTAGAGAAAAGGTGACGAGGTTAACGACACCGCCGGTATTCGATGATAACAACGGGCTTGTTATTGGGTAAGATGTTTCTTTTAATGGGCACGACGAATGAGAGGGGAAGGAGCGTGGAGAGTCGAGGATTTATTGCGGACAGACTCGAGGGTGGTTTTCTTTAAGTCTTAATTGGTTAGCGACTTTCGTAAATGTGTTTCTTCCTCGGTTTATTTTTGTACTATCCTGATACCAAAATGCTTCTGTTATCGAGAAGTTTCGTTCGAGATCTCTACTAGACGATATCGTATCTAAACAATACAATGCTCGGATGATAGAACGTTTGGATACCAGAACGATGGTTCGGATAAGGAAGTCTCCACCGTAACTTAGAAATCAATGTAAGACAGTATTTTCATTCGTATTTCCTTTTGGATCGACGTTCGGATTGCTTCGGCGAAGCTCGGCTTTTCAGACTGCGAATCTTCGTGCAAAATAAAAATTATCTACATCGAGAGCAAAAAATAGAATCTAAATAGAAAGTATTTTCTAGACTGCGGATCTTTGTGCAAAATAAAAATTGTTTACGTCGAGAACAAAAAATAGAAACTAAATAGAATACATTTTCTTTTTTAAATAATTTTAGTAGATCGTAAATAATACAGTTAGACATTTAAATTGTTTTAATCTTTCGACTATATCAAATTGCAACTACTCGTTTGTGCCTCAAATGCATAAAAATCCGCGGTCTACTTATAACATGCGTCTGCTCTGGCACGCAGTGCCACGACATTGTCGCTAGTCGGCGCTAGTAGTTGGCCTGCCCCCACTTAACGCTCCCTCGTCACGTGATCCGACGTCAGTGACATCACGGTTTAGCCTGCAGTCCGCACAGCTGGTCGCGCGTGCAAAGTGTTGGACGATTGGCCAATTGCAATATACTAAAAATATGTATCTTCCCGAAAATAGTTTTTATAAAATTACTTATAGAATAGTTTTTATAGTACTACTTATAGAATAATTTTTGTAAAACTCTATTTATAAAATAGTTTTTATAAAAACTACTAATAAAATCTTTATTACAAAACTACTTATAAAATAGTTTCTATATATATATAGAAACTATTTATCATCCATTGCGTGTCTGAGATTGGTACCAACCCTTTCCCCAACGCCCAGAATTTGTATTCCAAGGCACGATCTTCTCGAAACAGGAATCCACAGATAAATAATGATTATTTCGGCAAATCCAACGGTCGGACCGTGCGAGATTAAAAACGAAAGTAAGCAGAATTAAAGTGAAGTAGAACCGGCCGAGGGTTGCGGTTCAGCACGTAGGCTCAGCGACTAATCCCGAAGCCGAACCGGTATCGCGATACGCCGTAGATCCGGACGTTCCGAGTAAATCGACTGTTTTCTTTCGTTCGCAGGCGACATGGAGATCCTGGCGTACTTCTTCGGCCCGATCGGCGTTCTGCTGGCAGTGAACCTTCTGTTCTTCGCGGCGACAGCGCGCGAGCTGACATGCGGCCTGTGGAAGGGTGAATTCGTGAAGAGCACCACGGAGAGGTGAGTCGAGCAGCGTTTCCATTTGAAAGAGATCCGAGAAGAAAGGGCCGTCCTCGGAGCCCCCGGTGGAACGAGGTCCGCGGGCTCTCGTTGTTACCCGAGATTCAGCGCGCCTGTTCCTTCCGCGGGAGACAAAATATTTACCTGGAAGCTTCCCGAGGCGAGTGGTCCGCTTCTGCATCCCGCGCGCGTGCACCGTATCCGACCGCGCCTTTGTTTCTTGCAAATATTTACGGCATTTTTCTGCGAACGTTCCGCAGTCCTCTCTTTCGCAACGCTCGCTCTTTCGCAAAAAAAGGCTCGGGAGAAAGAGAGCCGCGGCCAGGTCGGAGCCGACCCGGACCTTCGCAGCTCTCCGGGCTCGCCGCACCGCGCCGGCAAACTTTCCGTTTCCGTTTGAGCGTTGCCAGAAGCTGCGACGATAGCCGCGGAGAGGAGTTGAGTTGCTCTCGGTTATTTTCAGTTGCAGAGCGCGCCGAGCTTTTGGACCGCGTTGGATCCCGGTCGGGATCTAAATCGCGACGAGCTTAACGCTTCAAACTCTCGGACCCCGGGTTCCAAGGTCGAATGAATCCTTGTCTCGTTTCGGGCGCGTTTCCTCGTTTGCCGACGTTCGGTCGAATGACCGGAAGTTTCCGTGAAAAAGGAGCCGTTTCCGAGGCTCCGTTACGCTGCCGCGAGATAATCGTGGAAACGACGAGTGCCTCGTTCCCGCGAAATCGCGCGGAACTACCGCGAAACGATTACCGGCGAGCCTGGAAACCTTAAACCGCGTTACGGCGAAGTTAAAGAAGCTCGTTTATTTGGTCGACCGAGGCCGGCGGTGTGGGGAGCCGACGCGATACACAACGTGTTGTCTTTTAACGCTGGCGAATTTTCGTCTTAATGTAATGCAGTGAATTCTTCATAATTGACGCTCAACTTGGAAACAAAAGTGGACAATTTGGGAGGAGAAGGTGTGATTATTATTCCAGTCTTGCGGCTCGATTTTATAATTATTTTATAGTTGACAATCGGTAACTATAAAAACGAGTCGCGAGGCTCGAATAATCGTATCTCCTCTTCCCAAATTGTCCATTTTTGTGGACAAGCTGAGCGTCAATTAGGGAGAATTTACTGTAGACCGAAGAACAATAGCCTTTAATTTTAACCCTTCTAGTGTTGAACAACGATATATTGTTGTTGACTTGAGAAGCAGCTATTTTCCATTAGTTTATAAACAATATTTATAATAATACGATTTATAACAAAAATACATTTATAACAATAAAACATTTGTTCTGATTTTTAACGAGTGTTATTCTATCTAATATTTGTCGAAACTATCAAATATAATATTGAATAAATAACTCCTAAAGGTATCGTTACGATCTGAATAATCATAAATTAATAAATTCACTAATTTATTAAATGATTTACTAATTTAATACACTACTACGAAAGACAGTTTTTTAATTTTCGTTATAGACTCAGATAAAAAAGTTAAAAAACGAGAGATTTTCATTTCTTTTGTCATTCCAAGTAATAACAAAATTTAAAATTAGTAATAGTAATACTTAATAGTAGTTAAATAATAACAAAATTTATAGTTACCGATTTATTTTAGTCATTGTCTAGTAAACTAGTCCCTCTATCATCTAAAAAAAATTCAGATTGTTTAGTTAAGTTTTAAAATAGTTATTGCATTTTAAAAACTGTATGTACACTTTTGTGGGCCACTGTATATAATGATAAAAATCGCTAAAAATCTGAATAAACGTATGCTTGATATTTTTATGAAGCACTATAAAATAAGTGCTCTTATTGCTCCGTTCCATTGTTCACGGAGGACATTAATGAACACTACTTGAGACTGTAAACTTGGCTACTTTACGACAAAACTTTATCTCGACCCATTAAAAATGTTACCATCTTTGAGTCTACATCTCGATAACCACCCATATTTGAAATTCTCAAATCTACACAACAGAGTTACTACACGTCGACTTCGGTTATGTATACGTTTACATAAAATTGCGTTCTGGCCAACTTTTTCGGAAGACGTTCCGCGGCGTCTTCTTGTGCATACAAGGCATTGTATTTTGATACGTGATTCAATCCGGAACGCAGCGCGTCTAACAGGAGGGAGAACGGCAGAGGAAACACCGGTAGCCAGCCTACGTGCGGCTTGGAACGCTCGCGGCACCGCGCGCGGGTTTATTGGTGCGCAACGGCGAACGATGCTTTATTTCGGCGCGAAGGACAACGCTCGGAGCCGATAAATATCAAGGATAACTGGTTCGGTTCCATTGCGGGTCCCGAGCCCGGAGACGTCGTTCCCCGTGGATAATCGGGATCATCGAACGCGCTCAGCCTCGGGACATCCGCTTAACGCGCGCGGGTCCTACGGAATCCCAATGCCCGTGATGTTCCGCGGACAAAGATGAAGATTAACGAGCCCGGAGTTCGCTATTTATAACGCTATCGAAGGTAAACGGTTAGGAATCGAGCTGGCTTAGAGAGGCGGACGGGGTTGCAGCGGCCGGTTTTTATCGAGACACCGAGGAGATTCAGGAACCTAGATTGGCAGGATGTGTCTCGACTGTTTGGAGTGCGGGGTCCGGTCTGCCGTTCTGGGGAGATAGTTATCGATCAAGTGTACTGGGTGCTTCGCCGGAAGATTCGCAGGCAATTGCTCGGACTGCGGCTTGTTTCGAGAAACGCTTCGGATAAAAATCACCCCGTTTCTGGAGGACGCTTCATGGTGGTCAGAAAAATTATTGTCCTCGCGACCTTTAACTCTCTATAAGGATCTTGTAGTCTATTATTATTATTATTATTATTATTTTTATTTTTATTACATTATTATTGTTATTTTTATTATATTATTGTTGTTATTTTTATTATATTATTATTATTATTCTATTACTACTGTTATTATATTATTATTATTGTAAGGATCTTTTAGTTGCATTTATTACAGTGGGGTACGTCACATTTTCCTCACTGTGAGAAACAAGGATTGTTATTCTTTATTAATACGTGTACTGTTTACTGACCAAATTTATTGTCAAGATAATTTACAGATAAGTTAATTTACAGTAACTTTATAATTTATTTCACTAATCTTTTTAACGATTTAGCCACGTATATATTACGTTTTAAAACATACGTCTACATTTTCGAAAATGTCACTTACGTCACTATGACCTCAACCCAGTCATGTAGCGTGTACTTCATTTTGTTGCAGCTCGTTCAGGTTAGCTCTTCGAGGCTAGTTGCACATTTAAAATGCTTAAAAATCCCTGGTATTATAGAGGAAATAATTGAACGAATTTCCCAAGTCGCGAGCGTACAATGGGATAAAAAAAAGCTGTCAATAGCTTTAAATAAATTCTATACCGTCATTCTTTGCAAAGCATCGCAGAACTCAGCCAGTAAATTAGACGCGCAACTTTCCCGAGGGTGGAAGCACCGTTCAGAGCCGAATGAAATCGTTGTACCGATACAAGCGATCGTTCCCAGGAACTTTTGATCGGTGCAAAGCGAGTCGAAACGACGAAGAACTGTAAACCGCAGTAAAGGTTGTCGGTTGTAAAGCCAACTCGCCTGAAAAACGTTCCAAGAGAGGGATCATTCGGGTCAGCGATTTAAAACTGGCGGCTCACAGCGACCCGAACGGTGTCAAACGGATCGGACTTCCCTTTTCGGGGAGCACCATTGTCGCGGAACGGTCGGGCAGAGAGGTCGGTTTCGGCCAGCAAATTGGTCTGGCCAGGCGGGGACGGTGATTCACGCGGGCCATTTTCGAAATGCCGCTTCATGAAACTCGCGGTTTACAGCCGCGTCTGCGTCGATCCTTGGTTTAAACAACGACGAAGTCGTAAACCCGGCGAATTCCCGGAGAACATCTCCAGATCGATGCGAAAAATATTATCTTCCGTTTCGCGCGGACCCTCGCGCGCGGGGGAGAAGACCGCTGCTCCTCTTCCGCCGTTGCCGTCGGGTCGCGGCGACGAGTGCCGTTTGACGAATCACATTTTTTCGGATATTTATGCGAGCGTGCCGCGAGCCTTTTTATAGAGCGACCGGGGCTCAAAGGAGAATTTATTTTATCACGGCCGCGCCGACAGATATCAGGCATCGAATCGTTATTTTCCATTCGTTCGGCGGGTCCCTCCGCGGCACCTTTTCTCCCTCGTCCCCCGCGCGAAATTGATATTGACGATCTCAATTTGCGATTCTCTTTCGGCCGAACCTCCATCGTTTCCCTCTCCTCCTCCCTCGCAATCGTTCGTCTCCGTTCCAACTCCCCGCTTTCGTCCTCGTTTCCATACCGCACCGGGCCGGGATACGGCCGCCATAATGGCGGATACAGATTCTCTGCAGCCGAGCGTTCGTTTCCTCCCCCGGCTTTCTACCCCACGCGTAATTTCGGCAGGCTCTTTTTCATCTGGCCCCGATGCTGATACGAATAGTCGGCGTTCGCGAACGAGCCGCGGGATGGAGAGCGAAAGCCGATGAAAAAATTACGGCAGCGGACGCGCGTCGAGCCATTTGTCGATCGTTTTTGAACTAGATGCTCGCGGACATTTGTGTCTACGCAACACCGCGTGCAGGAGTTTCGGTGGTTTTGCAGTTTTATGGACGATTCGTGACCTCGTCTAGAAGTAGCGGCAATTGTTTGTTTTAACTATATTGCCGGACTTTGTGCATTATTTTTTTCATCGAGTGCTATGCAACCCTCCACGGGATTAGCAGCGACGCACGTAAGTGCACAATACACATTGAGTATTCAATTAAACATAACTGAAGTGGCTTAAACACTAAATATATGAACAATGCTTTTTCACACAAGAACCTAAAAATAATTATTAGCGAGGTCGATAGAGAAACAAACTTATTATGTATCAAGAATAAAAAGCTAAGGATCTTAGTTTGCTGATCATTTTATTTCTGCCAGGATTTTATGTATTGTGGATCGGTAAAATATTAAGAGAAGTGCGTACGAACTGCAACGC